GAGCTTGCTATGGAGATCAGGCTGGCCTTGAACTCACAGAGATCCTCCTGCCTCTGCCTCCCGAGTGCTGGGATTAAAGGTGTGCGCCACCACCGCCCGGCGAAGCTTCCTTTTTAAAGGGAGAGTAAAGAATTAAGGACGGTGTTTTCAGCTTGTCTTCCTCACCCCAGCAACACTCTCTCAGCTGGCACACTTGCCAAGAGTTGGCAATGGAGCAACTTCCTGCTCAGGGAACAGCAGGTTATCTGCCAGCCCCACACAAGGCAGATCCTGGCTTGAGGGCTTCTCTCTGGCTTTCGGACACACCTGCACTTTTAAAGGGTACCAAACTCCTTCTACTGACTATTTTGAAAAATTCTCTTCTTACTAGTGGTCTCTCGACTTGGCTGCACATTGGCATTCTGCAAAGATTAAAAAAGTTCAGAACCGCCAGGCGGTGGTGGTGGTGCACGCCTTTAATCCCAGCATGTGGGAGGCAGAGGCAGGAGGATCTCTGAGTTCGAAGCCAGCCTGGGCTACAGAGTGAGTTCCAGGAAAGTTGCAAAGCTACGCAGAGAAACCCTTTCTCGAAAAAAGAAAACACACACACACACACACACACACACACACACACACACACACACACACACACACGTTCAGATGTCTGGATCCCATCCCTAAAATTCCAAGCTCTATTCATCTTGTGTGCAGGTCTGGCATCATATCAAGTTCCTGCAGCCAGGAATGAGGAATGGTTTTACTGACTTCTGGACTACAGCCTCACTGTTCATATAACTGCAACAGCCCTCAATACTTAGAGCTCAGCTGACCATTAGACCATACCGTTCCCCTGACCACTAGACTACAGTTCCACTGACCATTAGACCATACCGTTCCCCTGACCACTAGACTACAGTTCCACTGACCACTAGACTACAGTTCCACTGACCATTAGACCATACCATTCCACTGACCACTAGACTACAGTTCCACTGACCATTAGACCATACCGTTCCCCTGACCACTAGACTACAGTTCCACTGACCATTAGACTGTTGCTGGAGGGCTTCTCTCCAGGTTCCACCAAGCCCCACAGTCCCACAATCCACGTATAAAATAATCACTCAGACAGTTATATTACTTATAAACTATATGGCCATGGCAGGCTTCTTGCTAACTGTTCTTATATCTTAAATTAACCCATTTCTATAAATCTATACCTTGCCACATCGCTTGTGGCTTGCCGGCATCTTTACATGCTGCTTGTCCTGGCGGTGGCTGCAGTGTCTCCCACCTTCTTCCTGTTTCCCCAATTCTCCTCTCTCTTTGTCCCGCCTATACTTCCTGCGTGGTCACTGGCCATCAGTGTTTTATTTATATAGAGCGATATCCACAGCGTTAGACCATACAGTCCCACTGACCATTAGACCATACAGTTCCACAGGCTACTAGACTACAACCTAGCCCTCTTGACCACTGGTGATATGAATTTTCTGCCTAGAACTTGCCACTGCAAAGCCCTAGGCCATTTCCCCAACACTGTAATTCATAATGTTTAGTTTTTTGTTCTGTTTTGTTTTTGTTTTTCCAGACAGGGTTTCTGTGTAGCCTTTGCTGTCTTGGAACTCACAATGTAGACCAGGTTGAACTCTGGAACTCACAGAAATCTGCCTGCCTCTGCCTCCCAAGTGCTGGGATTAAAGGTGTGTGCTACCTCCCAGCCATGCTTACTTTTACTATGATTCATTGTATTTTCTTTTTGGTGGCGGGGTGGGGTGGGGTGGGGTGGGGTGTCTCTGTGCAGCTCTGGCTGTCCTGGAACTCATTTTGTAGACCAAGCTGGCCTTGAACTCAGAGATGCGTTGTGCCTCTGTCTAGAGACTACCTGGATTAAAGGGGTATGCCACCACACCTGGCTTGCTTCACTGTATTTTCTATTATTTTCGTCCTTGAGTTTATTTGAACAGAGTCTCAGGTCCCTCTCAGAATGCAGAAAGGATCACAGAATCCCGCTATTCCACTATTTGTTGTTGAGGGGTTTTTTGTTGTTGTTGTTCATTTGTTTTTGTTTCTGAGACAAGTTCTCAGGGAGTCCAGAACTTGTGTATCTGAAGATGACCCCATATCCCTGAGTCTCCAGTCTTCACCTCTCAAAACCTGGAATTACAAATCTGTGGTGCCACTACACCTAGCCCTCCATTTCATTCCTTTTTAAATAAAACTGTTCACTATTCATTAAATTTGTTTTTGAAACCCTTAATTTAAAAAGCACTGTGGTATCAGGGACTGTGTACACCTTTAATCCCAAGACCCAGATCTCTGTTAATTCAAGGTCAGCCTGGTCTGTATAACAAGTTCCAGGCCAGCCAGGGGGGCTACAGGGTACCTTGTCAAAAAAAAAAAAAAAAATCATTGACATTATCTCAAAGCGAAGGTTTTCAAACTACTAGGACTAGTCCAGTTTGGCTGGTTTCTTATCCATTTTCTGACCCAATAAACAAGAGCATTCCAAATCAAACTCATCCACCTTCAATTCATCAGACCACATCCTGAGGGCCTACTTTCTACTCCACACCAGCCTGTTAGGCGTTCTTTCTCATCACAAATGATAATTTGAGATAATGGTGGGCTCACACCTGTAATCCTAGCCCTATGGAGGCAGAGGGAGGGGAACCCTGATTTCCAGGCCTGTCTGGTCTACAAATCAGTTCAAAGCCAGCTTGGCTACATATGCAGATAGTAAGAGGAGAGGTAACTGTCAGGTCCAGAAGAAACTCGGGACAAGTGGCTTTTGGACCTGACAGTAACAGCTTCAGGAATAATTTGAAAAAAAAGTAAAGTGAAACTTGGGAATCACACACATATCCCATCTATATTTATGACCTGTTAAGCATGCCAGCCAGTTTGTCCCATTTCACTCACAGAAATTCCATTTTACACTTTAAGCTCAAAGAGGTAGACTTTCCCAAGATCACAGGACTGGTAATGGAGACAACATTTCAACTTAGTTAGGCTTGGAGTCTTCAGATCTTTTCCACCATGGTGGTTTTTTGTTGTTTTTTAACCATGTGAAAAAAAAACTACTTTTATTTGGGCATAAGACTGGAAATAAAAAGTTAGAGAGTAATGTTCTGTATCAATGTGTATTTTTGAATACTCTGAAAATGTTAAGTGCCTGGGATAATGTCTACCTAAGAATTCATATAACCCAGAAAAAAAACTGTGTTTTGAGAGTGCAAACTCACTGACCACCCGTTATGTGTCCATGTTCTCTGGTCCCTCTTACCCCCTTTTATTTCCAGTGGCTTTTAGTGTCGTGTTAGAGCACTCCATCTTCTTGAGTGGATCCCATTTGAGTGGCCGTTTTGGTTTCATCCTCCCAGTTTACTGCTGAATGCGTTATTACTCTATGACAATTTGTTAATCTCTAAGCCTGCGCCTCTGACATACTAGTAGGGAGCTTTCTACAGGCAGGACTGGCCGTGTCGCTCTTACGTGGGACCCGCGAGAAACTCGCCAACACTAGGAATACAACAACAGACTGCAACCAAATCTGGAATGGAAGAAAACTTTGCGATTTCATCCTGTCTGTCATACACGTTGACCTGGACGACCGGACTGAGAAGTTGTATTTCTGTTTGTTGTACTTCGTAAGGGATGTCAAAGGCTCTTCAAGTCACCCGGGCAAGTGGGAAGCGCCTCATTTTGGCCTGGTCCAACCCTGAAGCAACCGGGACAAAAGTGACAACCCAGAACTCGGTTCTAACAAAGGACAAAGTCCTTCGAGACCAAGACCAAAAAAACAGCCGAGAGCTGTCCTGTCCCGTCCCGTCCTGCCAGATCCACCGCAGGCTTTGCACACCCGGAACCCGGCGGAGAGACCACAGGGCCGGCGACACCTGCCCGGTGGAGTCAGTGGGCGGCCGGGGGCCAGCGGCCGGAGATCCGGGACGCCAGCCCAGCGCCGTTCCCGTCGTCCCCGCCGGCTCGGCGGCGCGCCGGGCAACCGGCATCCAAAGCTGCTGACCTTTTCTTTCCGAGAAAGGGGTGGGAACTTGAGCTGCGGGGCGCGGCGGGAGGCGGGTGCAGCTACCCCGGGAGCCACACCCGGGAGGTGGTGACTCAAGCGGCGGGGCCGTCCGATCAG